ATTGTATAATGAACATGTAAATTGGTTGGTTTAAGTGATTTAATGCCTGTGTAATTTGGTTGATCTATGGTTGTGTAATTTGGCTTTGAACTCTTCTATGGATTCTGAGTTGTGCTGATGAATATGGTTCCTTGTTGAAAATCTGGGTATACCATAGGAGAATTGTTGAAGGCCTAACAGTGCTGGGTATTTCTTTTGGGCCTGTTGTGGTCCTACTGTCATTATTTGTATAATATTTTTAATCATATTCATTATTGGGCCTGTAATAACTTTGTAATAAACAATTGGGGTGTAAGTAAAAATGGGGGATGTGTAAATTCTGATGTTTGCATGCAAGATTAGAAAACATGCTTATAGGATTCAATGATTCATCTGCTATATATGTCATTCAATCTCTATGTGTACTGTAGAAATCATGGCATTAAGAGAAGCACACACTCACACTACTTGTCTACTAGCAAAGCATGAGTTCAAATGCTTCAACTATCCCTGCTGCTACATGTTATTAGAAAACCTGCCCATAGGAAATACATATCGTTGAATTTTCCTTCGATTTACATCGCTGCAGCATATCCACTAGAAATCGTGCCTATAGGATTTTAATCATTTCATTCACTACTATATCGCACTGTTCACTTAGAAAACATACCTATAAGGTTAAAGTATAACAATAGAATTGGTTCCAATCGCTAATTGATAGAGATCCTGCCTATATGGTATTACTACTCGCCAAAACGTGTTAATTTTCTAAACGCTGTTTGCTGCTCGAAAAGCATGAATAATTCTGGGCTTTCCTCCAATAGATTTCATTGTCACTTAGTGCGTAAATCACCTAGACACATCATCTATAGATTAAATAACTGGAAATCTGCAATCTCAAATCAACATGCAACAATCGTATAATTATTTGGAGATAAGCAACGCCTAGCCTCTGAAACTGCTTGTATGTTTTAATGCATAGTCACATAGAAATCATGTCTATAGGGCTTAAGGTTCTTAATTTTGAAACGGCCTAACATGAAAACCTGTTTCGCATGCATTTGTTGCTTAAGTGTGGAGGCTAACTTGAGCCCTTAACTGCCCATATTTGAAGTCCAATATATGTTTTGTATGTCGCCTAGTTTTGACATTTCTGAGCCACCTAAGTAAGGTCTAGAACCACCCTAGTAGAGGTCCAATACCTCCTGGACCAAAGGAATGAGACAGGTAGTGCACGCATAGAGCACGACTTAGAATTGAATTAGCGCGCTTTAGATAAACAACTTTAACATAGTAATCGGGTAGCAGGAGATGATAGTCTGTGCCCGCTGAATAATATGAGTAACTCCCTATCTCAAGGGAGTTGTGAAGTATTATTTATGTTGCATGGGGTGATCCTTTAGGCTAAAAAATTTAGGACTCCCCCCCTTTATATGTTGTTATTAGATCCAAATAGTTGTATCCCTATATTTGTACTAAGATCTGTACTAATCATGTTGTAATGAAATTCTTTGACATTTACATTCGCTTTGTTTATTTGATCACTTAGCCTAATTGTAATCCACATAATCTTAATTTAGGCCGAGACCCACAGTTGTGGACCTCAAAGAGTGCCTAACACCTTCTCTTTGAGATAATTTGAGCCCTTACCCGATCTTTGGGGATGCTGACTAGTCAAACAAAGTCATTTGCATAATAGGTGCCCCTAACGCACCTTAAAAATCGTTAGGTGGTGACTCTTCTTCTTTTAACCCTTTACCTCCCACTCAAAAGAGTTGTCATAACATCGAAAGCCCGCTTTCGCAAGAAAATGGGGCCCGACACTCGCGTCTCGTCAATCAATACAATATCATTTGAAAATAGCATGCACCACGGCACCTCCCCTTGGATGTGGCACGTCAGTACATCCATCACCAGAGTAAACAAAAAAGGGTTGAGTGCTGACCCCTGATGCAACCCCATCATCACCGGAAAATGATCTGAGTCCCCACCACCGTCCTCACTCGGGTCTTTACTCTATCATACATGTCCTTAATCAACCTAACGTAGGCAACATGTACACCTCTAGCCTCCAAATATCTCCACAAAATCTCCTTCGAAACTTTATCGTACGCCTTTTCCAAGTCAATGAACACCATATGCAAGTCCTTCTTTCTCTCCCTATACTGCTCCATCAATCTCCTAGCAAGGTGGATGGCTTCTGTAGTCGAACGTCCTGACATAAACCCAAAACTGGTTCTCAGAAATAGACACACTCCTCCTCACCCTTAGCTCTACCACTCTCTCCCAGACTTTCATAGTATGGCTAAGCAGCTTGATACCCCGATAGTTATTGCAATTTTGGACATCACTCTTGTTCTTGTATATAGGAACCATTGTTCTCCACCTCCACTCTTCGGGCATCTTCTTCATTCTAAAAATGACATTAAATAACCTAGTGAGCCACTCTAAGCCTGCCTTGCCTGCACTCTTCCAAAACTCCACCAGAATTTCATCCGACCCGGTCGCTTTGCCCCTGCTCATCTTATGCATAGCCCCCTCAACTTGATCAACTCTAATCCGCCTACAATACCCAAAGTCACAACGACTCCCGGAGAGTTCCAGATCACCAATGACAATGCTCATGTCCTCCTCCTATTTTAAGAGACTATGGAAGTAGGTCTGCCATCTCTGACGGATAAGCCCCTCATCCAACAAAACTCTACCTTCTTCGTCCTTGATGCACTTCACTTGGTCCCAGTCCCGCACTTTCCTTTCTTGCGCCTTGGCTAACCTGAACAACCTCTTATCCCCACCTCAGTCCTCGATTTTCTCATACAAACGACTAAAAGCTGCAGTCTTGGCCGTCGTAACTACTAACTTTGCCTCTTTCTTAGCCAACTTATAATGCTCTCTATTCGCCCTCTTCTCCTCCCCGTCTACACTTTCCACTAGCTTCAGATATGCTGCTTTCTTGGTTTTCACTTTTCCTTGCTCCTCTCCATTCCACCACCAGTCTCTCTTGTGACCACCAGAGTAACCCTTTGAGACCCCCTAATACCTCTCTCGCGGCTTCCCTATGCACTGCGCAGTCATGGTCCACATAACGCTTGCGTCCCTACTACTCCTCCAAGCCCCCATAGTCACCAGCTTGACCCCTAACTACTGCGCTTTAGCTTCCGTCAAGGTTCCCCACTTAATCCTATGTTGGCTATACATCGCCCTCTTCCTCCTCTTCCTCGTGATCTCAAGGTCCATGACCAGGAGCCTATGAAGGGTCGAGAGGTTCTCACTCGGGATGACCTTGCAATCCCTGCAAAGACCTCTATCGGACTTCCTGTAGAGTAAATAATCAATCTGAGTCTCGGCCACCGAACTCTGAAAGGTGACCAAGTGCTCTCTCTTCTTCGGGAAACTCGAGTTTGCTATCACCAAATCAAATGCTCTAGCAACATCCAGCAAAGACGTTTCCGTTTCTATCTCCAAAATCAAAGCCACCATGCACATCATCATACCCCCCAGACGTCGCTCTAGTGTGGCCGTTGAAATCTCCTCCTATGAAAAGCTTCTCGGTATGTGGGATACCACGCACCATCTCATCCAAATCCTCCCAGAAACGCCTCTTGACTTCCTTATCCAAGCCTGCTTGGGGTGCGTATGCACTGATTATGTTCAAAGTAAAACCTCCAACAGCTAGCTTAATAGTCATCAGTCAGTCATTCACCCTCCTAACCTCTATCACTAGTTCACGGAGGTCCTTATCAACCAAGATACCTACCCTGTTCCTGCCCCCACCCTCCCAGAATACCAAAGTTTGAAACTGTCCACATCCCGCGCCTTATCTCCTACCCATCTAGTCTCATGTACACAAGCTATATTAATCTTCCTTTTCTCGAGAATCTTCGCTAACTCTACAGACTTTCCAGTCAAAGTTCCTATGTTCCAAGACCCCCGCACCCCTCGCACCCCCTCCCCGCGCTGGCACCCCCGAGGACAAGACCTTACCCTACCATCGTTCACCAAAGCCACTATAATCTACGAGTCACTACGCAAGTACTATCCCAAAAACAAGCGACAAAAATAAAAAGAATTACTGAAAAATAATCTACCACTAAAGGTCGCAAAACAGGTGAAGAAATAAAATAAAGGAACTAACGGGAACTATAATCTATAACTAAAGGTCAGACAAACAGGTGAAGAAATAAAACAAGGGGATTAAAGGAATTATAATCTACAACTAAATGATAGAGAAATAGGTGAAGAAATACAATACAATAGTTAAGGGGCTATAATCTACAACTAAAGGTCCCGCATGTAAAGTTTTTTATTTGTACTCAATGTTTGCACCTAACAATAAATGCAATGATATTTTTCTTTAGCTTTGCTACTTAACCTAGATTAATTAATTCAAAATAAAAGAACACAGTAATTAATATACATTTTCACTTTAATAACAACTCTTAAGATTAAATATTTTGATTTACTGTAGCCGTGTAGATATACAGTATGAATATATTTTCTCCAGAAGTAGTAGTTGAAGAACTCGTGACCCATTTAATAGCATCTGCATACCCATTATTAAACGTAGAAACAACAAATTAACATTTTCACGTAAAGAACATAATGGATCCTCAAACAAGAAAGGAAAATTAGGATACGAATCAGAAGCTGACTTGATTAAGATGTGAACCTAATATCGAAATTCGGAAGGCATACGTTTTTGGAGGGAAAGTGAAAACTATATTTGAAGTTGTAATTAAATACAATGGTCCATGTCTTTCTTGACGAAAGGCAAGATTCCATTAATGATGCAGAAAGATGAAGATTAAGTTGCTTCAATTTTCTACTAACATTTAATACTTTATTAGTTATCTTCTTAGACACGTAAATTTCCCTTTTAAATTCGTTTAACTATCATAAGATAATTTTAAGTACTCCAATAAAAAAAAACAAAAAAAAACAGAAACACAATAAATGTACACACACACGCAGCCTGATATAGTGATGTGACGAGCTGGCATTATTTTTCAAAAAAGAAATAAAACAAAACATACATAATGGATTGGATACATCCTCCATAAAACTATTAGTAAATCCTTTTCTTTTTTCATGTTCACAAGTGAGATGAAAGTGTATGTATGTATAAGAAATCACGCCATAGTTGAACCTTGAACCTGCATATCTATCACCCGCCCCCCTAACCCCCTTGTTTCTAGGTGGTGATATATGCAGGGCAAAAGTTGAAACAATCAATTAAATTCGTTATTAGATTGATGTCTACTTGTACAGACAGTAATGAAGAGAGAAACATTTGGAAATCAAGATTTGTGAGTCTCATCCGTCGCTACTCCCTCGAACTCTCTCACACTATGCGGGGCAGGGGCTTCAAGCTCAAAGACCGTTGTAAGACTACTCAAGTCCATCCTTCTGAAACTTCCACTAGCAACCCTTTTCCTTTTCCTTTTCCTATTTCCAAGCTCCACTTCCCTACAATCAACTCCATTTTGCAAGAATCGGCTTTTCTTCCCTATGGTCTTCCAAGAACCGATTCTTTTGAGCCCCCAGTTGAGCTTTGTCTCAAATCTGTTGATTTTGTTGAATCTTTGGCTGAGCTTTACCGCAAAATCCAGATGACCCAAGATTTTGATAAATCTTTGGTTTATTTAGAGCAGTATGCGCTCTTGTGCAGCCTTGGTGATCCAAAGTTGCTGCGAAGGTGTCTTCAATCGGCTCGTCTACATGCGGTTGATGTGCATTCCAAGGTGGTTTTGTCAGCTTGGTTGAGGTTTGAAAGGAGAGAGGATGAGTTGGTTGGATCATCAGCTTTGGATTGTATAGGAAGAGTTGTTGAATGCCCCAACGCTGCTTTGCTACATGGCTATGATCCCAATTCTGTTTTTGATCATTGCCTATGTTCTAATCAGATCTCTCNATGCGTTTGATGTGCATTCCAAGGTGGTTTTGTCAGCTTGGTTGAGGTTTGAAAGGAGAGAGGATGAGTTAGTTGGATCATCAGCTTTGGATTGTATTGGAAGAGTTGTTGAATGCCCCAACGCTGCTTTGCTACATGGCTATGATCCCAATTCTGTTTTTGATCATTGCCTATGTTCTAATGAGATCTCTCATTTTGGGAATAATTTCCTCAGCTCAGAATCACAAGAGGATGGGGTTGTTTGCTTCTGCATAGGCAATGAGGAAGTCAACTGTATTCGAGGTAAAATTGCAGCTCTCTCTGCTCCATTAAAATCAATGTTGTATGGTAATTTCATTGAGTCTGATAAGCAAAGAATTGATTTTACACACGTTGGTATATCTGCGGACGGAATGAGAGCTGTAGATTTCTTTACTAGGACTAGAAGATTAGATTCTTGCTCACCCAATCTACTTCTGGAGCTTCTTTCATTTGCAAATAGATTCTGTTGTGAGGAAATGAAATCTGCTTGTGATTGTTACTTGGCGTCTTTGCTTTCCGATATCGATGAGGCATTGGTTCTTATTGATTATGCTCTGGAGGAGAGAGCACATCTGCTCGTGGCGTCTTGCTTGCAGCTGATGCTTCGAGAGCTTCCAGGTTATTTATATAATCCAAGGGTTCTCAACACATTTTGTAGCTCTGAGGCTAGGGAGAGACTCGCCACAGTTGGGCAAGCTTCTTTTCTGTTATATTATTTCCTTAGCCAGGTAGCAATCGAAGATAACATGATGTCCAAAGTTACAGTTATGTTGTTGGAGAGATTAAAGGAGTGTGCTAGCGAAAGATGGCAGAAGGCACTCGCTTTGCATCAACTGGGTTGTGTATTGCTTGAAAGGAAGGATTACAAAGAAGCTCAACATTGTTTTGAGATGGCAATTGAGGCTGGTAACATTTATTCAATAGTAGGTGTTGCACGAACTAAACTCAAGCAGGGGCAGAGGTTTTTAGCTTATGAGCTAATTAATGATATTATTACAAAGTATAAACCTACGGGGTGGATGTACCAAGAGAGGTCTTTGTACAGCTTAGGCAAACAAAAGATTTTGGATGTTAATGATGCCACCAGATTGGATCCTACCCTTTCTTTTCCATACAAATACAGAGCCATTGCAATGGTAGAAGACAGCCAGATTGAGGCTGCTGTCGCAGAGATAAATAGGATTGTTGATTTTAAGGTCTCTCCAGACTGCATTGAATTGCGGGCTTGGTGCTTTATTGCACTTGAAGATTACCAATCTGCTATAAGAGATATCCGTGCATTGTTGACTCTAGACCCGAACTTTATGATGTTTCGTGGGAAAATGAGAGCTGACCACCTGGTGGAGCTCCTCAGTCAGCACGTTCAACCATGGAGTCCTGCAGATTGCTGGATGCAACTCTATGATCGATGGTCATTTGTTGATGATATTGGTTCATTGGCTGTTATACATCAGATGCTCATAAATGATCCTGGGAGGAGTGTCCTGCGCTTCAGGCAATCTCTTCTCCTGTTGCGGTAATTTTTTGAGACATATTATCTTTTGATTTTTTCTTGCAACCTTATGCAACAGTTCCTAGTGTCTCTGAGTCCTGATTCTAGCTTCAACTTTTCTTTTTTTCGGGAATGTAAAAAATAAAATGGTGAAAGACTGGTCATTGACTGTTTCTGGCGATCTGTAAACCATATTCTTGTTGTCACATATGTTACTTTATAATCAAAGAACCTGATTACTAATTGTAACACATCAAATCCGGCTTTAAGTTATAAGACCCATGTTACTGAAAATTGAAATGGATAATGCATGAAACAACTCTTTGATAACTATCCTTAGTTGGATTGAGTCGACATATGTGGAAGTAAATTTTGGGGACTGGCTGGAAATATACTGTCATTCTTAGACAGAAAAGCCTTATCATGGGTTAACATTCCATGCTGTTCTGATTTCCATAAATTATTTGATATAAGCACATCCTGTTACTTAGGTTTACCTAATACCTTGTACGTGCAGGTTGAATTGTCAAAAAGCCGCAATGCGCAGTTTGCGCCTGGCCCGGAATCATTCCACCTCCAAATATGAAAAGCTTGTGTATGAAGGATGGATATTATATGACACTGGACATCGTGAAGAAGCACTTGCCAAAGCTGAGGAATCGATTTCTATCCAAAGGTCATTCGAGGCCTTTTTCCTTAAAGCATATGCTCTAGCCGATACAACTCTGGATTCTGAATCTTCATGTTATGTCATCGAACTGTTGGAGGAAGCACTTAAATGTCCTTCAGATGGTCTTCGCAAAGGACAAGTGGGTCAATTCTCCAAACTAGTTCTCTTGGCGTTGTTTCTGTAGATAAATTTATTCATGTTATGTGATTTTGGCAGGCATTAAATAATCTAGGAAGTATTTACGTGGATTGCAATAAGCTGGACCTTGCAGCAGATTGCTATGTTAGTGCCCTCGAGATAAAGCACACAAGAGCTCATCAAGGGCTAGCGCGTGTATATCATCTCAAAAATGATAGGAAAGCTGCTTATGAGGAAATGACAAAGCTGATAGACAAGGCTCAGAACAAGGCATCAGCTTATGAGAAAAGGTCAGAGTATTGTGATCGCGACATGGCAAGTAATGATCTCAGCATGGCTACACAGTTGGATCCTCTAAGGACATACCCATATAGATACAGGGCTGCAGGTACATTATCACTTTATCACCCTTGCTTGTTACCTAATTTTATTGCTCAGGAAGAGCTTACTAAAATTCCGACTAAAGATCTGACTGTAGGGTGATGAATAAAACTTGTTATGTGAATTTGAAGTAGAGTTCCGCTATGATTATATTTGAGGAGAATCTTTTCTTGGGTGTTATTACTAATTGTGAAATAATTTCCTGGTGTAACCTAAAAGAGTATCACAAAGAGGAAGCAATCGTTGTTGCTTGTGGACTGGGCTTGAGCGGATGCATCTTCTTATGTTCACTTGAAAATGTAATTCACTTTTCAGAAGGAATTAGCAGTGTTGATCCGATGAATGCAGTGCCGCCATGTCCAGACTGATAAGAGAAAAGCTCTATCAAAATTTGAAATTAAGTCACTTGAAAGAGCCTTTATATAAGGGAATACCTCTCTTTTCTTCTTCTCAGGATTGAGATTTACTACAACTATTACAATTTGAATTTGGTTAGCAAAAACATTTTTGATGAAAGCACTCTCTCTTTTCTGTGAAGGTCCTGTCGTATAAAAACGATTTCTAGCTATTTTATGTATATCTGATGGTCTTAAAAATCTGTTTTCCAAATTGCAGAATATACATTGCAAAAAAATAAAAATAAAGCAGGTAACGAGATATTAGTGTGGTTGTTTATGCCTATGTCACACAAAGCATTAATTGAATTCATTACAATTAAGAGATATGCATCCGTTCATTACACCTTAGGTTTTGCAAGCTATTGTCCTATGATGCGTACCCCAAATGTTCTTAAGATAAGTACTCTATGCAATACATACAAATGTAATGTAGAAAGAGGAATTTATCACTGATATCTTGTCCATCTTTGACATAGGCAACTTATTGTTCTCATGGAGCAACTGCAGAGAGCTCCTCTTCCTTTGGCACGTAAATTATTCTTTGAATCAACCGGTACCAAGAAGATGCTTAGAGAATATAAACTGTTGACTTGTCTCATTTTACATGTTTAAGGAGTATAGCAAGTTGTTTAAATGATTATATTATTTACAGTATTCTTCCAATCTTCGTAGACCAAAAATATAAATTTTAAAGACATTACTTATGATATGTGCTCCTTTTTTCGTCAAAACATCTATGATTCTTTCTATCCAGATTGTCCTAATAAAACATAAGCAAGTTTCCAACTGTGACTCTCTTAGATATCCTCTGTCCCTGCCCATTGTTGAGAGTTTGCTGCAGATTCTTTGGCATCACCAGTTGGACTCCAAATATGTTTAAAAACATTATCCATATTATCCATGTTTGCTTGTCGTAGGTGGTTAACTGATTCGTTGGAATCATGTAGGAAGCATCTATGAAACAGTTTAAAATCCCTTCTTCGCATATTATCTTGTGTCAAACAGGCTTCTTGTGTTGCAACCGCATGCTATTTTTGGAGGTGCCTTGGTGTTCCAAATCATTTTCCATGGTCAATGATCTTCTTCTTTTCCGTGTCTATAGATTATCTTATAGCATATGATTTAACAGTAAATCTCCCATCCTTGCTACCAATCCAAAGTATGTAAAATTTTGACATCATCCCCTAATACCATTTTTTCCAGTTTCTGCAGCAAAAAGCTGATGTCCTCAATTTCTCAATCATTTGAATTCCTTCTAAACTGCAGGTTCCATCCATAATCTGAGTAACATTCTGCAATTGTACAACCTTTAGTTGTGATAAGGCTGTACCAATCTGGGAGAATTCCTTTTGGTGTCAGGCCTCCGGCTGCTTATCAAATACATATTTTAATATTTCTCCTGTTGCCCAGCTTTAGTCTAATACTGTTCTGAAATTCTCCCCAAATGAAGAAGCTCTTCTTTCTGAGCTTGGCCTATCAAATGGTTACAACAACCTTTTGGAATATTGCATTTTCTGACACAAGGACAATCGACTTTATGCTATCAAAATTCTTTTCATTGGCATTTGTCTGTGAATGGTGAAATGCTATTGATGAAGTAAGATAAACTTTACAGTAAAGTTGAGAGTTTTGGTTCAGTCAAATCAAATAGTAGTCTAGACTCTTCATGAATGGCTTCAGCGAAGTAACTTTAATCCTGTCGAATAAGTTCAATTACTTTAAGTTTACGATCTCCCTGCAGGGAGATTTATTAGCTAATTTAGTACATAATGTGATGCTTCTGTATTTATTTGATGGTTTGAGCTGAAAGATTGTTTTGCTCCCACTGTTGGAAGAAAAAATGGATGAAAGCATTGTGCTACATTTCCCTAAAGTTCTTGTACAAACCAACATGAAACTAGGAGGACAAAAGTTCCCAACTGGGGTAGAGGCCTCCACCGTATAGATTGAGGCCTCAGTCGTGAGTTTAGCACTTGTTGTTGCCTTATTACCTTACCTTTTCAAAAAAAAAAAAAAAAATTGTTGTTGCCTTGTTAGCCGCGAGTTAAGCATTTTTATTGCCTTGACAGCTGCGAGTTTAGCAATTTATGTTGCCTTGTTCGAAATGACATTTGACTCTTGCATTCAACAGTGCTCATGGATGACCAGAGGGAGACTGAGGCTGTGGAGGAGCTTACAGGAGCCATTTCTTTCAAACCTGACTTGCAAATGCTTAATCTTCGAGCAGCATTCCATGAGTCAATGACTGATTTCTCACGTGCTCTCCAGGATTGTGAAGCAGCCCTCTGCTTGGATTCCAATCATAAGGATACCTTAGATTTGTACAGTCGTACACGTATTCAAGCACGGCAAAATACGTGAAATATGCATGTGAATGGACTAGTTTTGAGGAGTACTTTCTGCTTTCGAAGAAAGAAGAGAAACGGCTTGAGCTTTCTAGTCTTCGGATATAAGGCTCCCTGCACAACATTCTGTTGTGCATGGATTGGTGACTAAGACAAACTGGGAAATCATTGAGCAGGAGAAATTGGATTTGGTGTACCTATGATTGAAGGACTGCTGAGAACATGATGGTAAAAAGTCTTCTTTTTTTGATGGAGCAAAGCAGACCATTTCACAGTAAGCAAAATCAGGACACTCAAGCTCAATGTACTTTGACATTGTTTTGGTCATTAAGAATTGGAATTCTCATACTCTTATCATAATTTCCGTATACGACCTAGAAAGAGGTAAAAATTCTCATTTGTGTAAGTTCAAGAGGAACTTTTCTTCTCTCATTCTGTTAAACGATAGAGTTGCTGGAATGTGTAGAAGTTCTCCGTTTTTCTTGCTGTTGTGAAAATTATAAGTCAAGATCCTTGTAATTAAATTAGATATCTGACCATGTATACCACGTTTAGGACAGTACACAAACATTCCTGGAAAATACTGGCTTTGACGAGGTAATGGAGATAGTCTTCTCCAGAAGGCGATCAACTTAGATTGCTTGCTTGTAAATTTCTTCCCAGTTCACAAACTTGTGTAGTTGACTAACCAATATCAAACGCGTTCATGTCTAGTGGAATTAAAGAGGATAGACAACCAAGGGAAAAACTTGTGACCGAGAGTAGGTAGGGCGTAGTCTACAGCAGCCACAAGGAAGTTAGAATAGAAAAGGCATCAAAACATTTCGCCACAACAACTAGTAATACTTTAGATAGCTTAATGGAATATTTGTTTTTGGCATGCCTTGCTTCTGAACTGAGCTTCCAAGTTGAAGGACCAGTCATTAGCTGTCTTCGCTGCAGTTGAAGTCACTGCTATTTCAACACCACTTGACAGGGTGCCTTTGTAAATAGTTCCATTGGGCAAAGAGCCAATTATGTTGCTGAAGTCTTCACAAGCAGTTTCAAGTTCTGCTCGCAGGAGACTTGGTACACCTGAATACGAATTCTCCAACATAAATGCAGATCCACATTACAAGTAGGTGTAGTCACTGTGTATTATGCAATTAATTCATTTCTTCGTGCCCCACATGTTCAATGTTTTGTACTTAAAGAAGGTAAACAAATTTCAACAACATAATGATAATTCACCTGTCACAAATGCTTTCTGTAGCTGTCCACTAAAGTCCTGTTGCCCTAGGTTTAACCATTACCATCTTACTTCTTCGACAATAAACATACAAAAGGGCTGAAATGAATACAAGTAAAGAAGTTCCGCTACACCAGACACTATAAACATTATATGACGCTTGGATGTGGATGTTCTTTTATTTGTTTGGTCAGGAGTTGGAGCGGTAGAAGGCAGTTGGGAATGAGAGGGCTGCCATTTCCTGGGAAGTACTGGTGGATCAACTGGAGCATGTGGAGCTGGAGTTGGTGGTGACACTGGAGATGAAGTAGGATTCAAAAACACAGAAGACGAGGGAGACGGCGATTCTGATGGAGAAGATATGGATGCAGAAGGAGGGATTGAGATGTAAGATGTGGGTGTTCCAACAGGAGAAGTTGCAGGTGAAAGGAAGGTTGGTGATGGTGATGGAGAAACGAAGAATGAAGACGATGAGGATGACTTTGAATTCCTTTTGCTTCTTTCAGCTTTTCTTGGATTACCTAAACCAATAAACTGTAGCAGCCTCCACTTCACTGGATCTCCAAGTTGCTTTCTCTTCCTGTTGGACATTGAAGTTGTAGTGGTCAAATAAACTGATAATAACTGTCAGTAGAAAAGATTCAGTGCAGATTGTTCATTTCTCAAGGCAGTAGGATTCATAGGACAAGGACTTCTTACACTAATCTCCCATCCTCAGCCTTGAACAAAGAAATTTCTAACTATACAACATGCTATTCCTGAAAAATAACACATAATCTTTCAGCCTTCTAAATGTCAGCTACATTTGGATTATGTCCAGTTTCTATCAGATTTACAGTATATTCAGCAGACTCAAAAGGGTCGAATTAGGTGTAGTATATCTATCTCTCCATAAGCAAATGGATGAGATTAACCCTTCCTCAAACCAACACTTAGTTACTACCTCAACAATAACAACTTTTAATCCCCTACAAAATAAAAGTTGTCATTGCAGAAGGGCTCGGATATTATAAGCATACTACCTCTGCATCTCCATTACAATCACCATCTGTACCAAGTTTATAAGCATTCTCCTTTCCGAGGATCACATTGACAAGTTCAACAGGTATAAGATGCAGGTTTTTTGGTTGTGACATGACATTCTGCACCATAAATCTAAAACCTAGTTTACGCCCTTGGCTGGATATTTTTACAAGTACCCGAGTTGTCCTGGCTGCAGTGGCACCCTTTCAGTGTCTCCTCTAGTCCTCTTGATGGGAAACATCATCTTGCGATTCTCATAAAGGTTCTTGGAGATTGGACCGAAAAACTGACACGCGGCGCGAATCTGGAATAGTCAGACCAGTGAATTTTGAATACAAGATGCGTGAAGAAACATAAAAAAGAAGATAAAATATAAATAATGCCTCATGACTAGAATTCACTTACCAAACACTAGGTTGGCTGTTGCAATCAGCAGTAGGAGCAACATTTGCTAATTGGTTTTCATCTATTTGAGACTCAGAAAGAATATTAAGATGATGAATTTCAGGAGCTACACTGCCGATGTACTTGTTGTCCAACAGACTGAAACCATAACAACAAACTTGAGTTTGGAAAAGTTCAAACAAAGGTGGTCAATAATGAGCTATAACCTCAAAAAACACCTACTCAGGATCGACAAAGACAGGTTGTTGCCAAAATTCATAGGAAATGGTCCCGAGAAGTTATTATGACCAAGGTCCAGCATTTCCAACTCCTTCAGTTCTCCAATTTCTTTCGGAATAATTCCAGAAAATGAATTATTGCGTAAAATAGTGCCAAAAGAAAAGAAAAAAAAAAAAATCAGTGAATAAGATCAACTATTAAACTTACAGATCAACATTGAAACAAATGTGAAATGAGATGCTCACATGACTTAGAGTCAAATGTCCTAGCTCAGGTGCCAGAGTTCCTCTAAGACAAACATCTTTGTATACGGTTAAAACCGGGCCCACCCGATTTCACTATTTGATCGAGACCGGGAGATTGCATCGAAGGACGGCCTCGTAACGGAACAGACTAAATCACGAGGACTAGGTACCGAGTTCAGAACCGAAGTACCTGTCGAGATTGAGTCTAGTAGCGATTAAAGACAAACCAGACAGACATCGAGCAAGATCGAAGATAACACAATAACAGAAAGGCAAGATATCTGTTACTGGTCGAGGATCATGGCGTAAATCTCGGTGAGTGGTCGAGGATCATGGCGTAAATCTCGGAACGGATCAAATCAGAAACGGTTAATTAGCTAATCATGAAATTTCCTTCTGTAATTAGAGTTATACCATAAGTAGAACTTCTCTACTATATAAAGAGGAGTATTAATCATTTGTAAGACAGGTTGTTCCCACATAAAAAAGCCAATATAACGCCCTTTCTTTAACTTATAATCTCTTGTTCATCATCTTGCTTTATTTTTAATTGCTTTGGTATCAATCAGTTCGAGGGCACCCTAGATCGAGGGTTGAATTCCATTTCAACACTGGTTTGCTTTACTTTATAGCTCATTTCCATTATTAATTTTCATATTTATCAATTAGTATTAAGTGAAATCACGTGTCCTTAGAACCATATTATGAGTTTAATTGTTATCCAATTTTAAGGATAAATAGTTTGGCGCCCACCGTGGGGCTAAGGATAATAGTGGTTGCTTAATACTAATTTCGATAACACACACTGCTTTACACTTGTTCTCGTAAGAATCTTTATTTTCAGGATAAATATGTCAAACTTACAAGTAACACCTACACGTGGTGACAACGGCATTGGAATTCACGGGAAAAATGATAATGTAGCCGCCCCAGGAATCGAGGTGCCTCAGGATGACCTCGAGGGAGAACCAATTGCAAATCCCGTCGATGACAGTTCACATGTCGCCCTAAATGCAAATTTGGGCGTTGATCCCGAAGGTAGCGTACGGAGGGAAGTTCGATCAGGTGGTCGAGGTACGCAGGGCGGAGAAGACGGTGGAGTTAGCCTCCAATTGATATTCAAAATGTTACAGGCTCAACAAGACGCTATAGCATAACTACAAAATCAACACCGAACACCGAGTAGGATCAAACCAGAAATCGTCCATAGGACCGAGCCTGTGCCGGAAAGGTCGAACGCCAACGAATCGGGGACTGACCCCGCCATTATGAAAATGCTCGAGGAGTTCACTAAAAGGATTGAATCGGGAGAAAAGAAAATCGAGGCAAATGACAAGAAAGTAGAGACATACAACTCCCGGGTTGACCAAATACCGGGGGCAACGCCAATTTTAAAGGGTATGGATTCAAAGAAATTCGTACAGAAGACTTTCCCTCCAAGTGCAGCTCCGAAACCCATTCCAAAAAAATTCTGAATGCCGGAAATTCCTAAGTATAATTGGACCACCGACCCTAATGAGCATGTCACTTCTTATACGTGCGCAATAAAAGGGAATGACTTGGAAGACGATGAAATTGAATATGTTTTACTGAAGAAATTTGGAGAAACCTTGTCAAAAGGAGATATGATATGGTACCATAATTTAACACCTAATTCTATCGATTCCTTCGCCATGCTTGCAGACTCCTTCGTAAAGGCACATGCCAGAGCAATAAAGGTTGCAACTAGGAAGTCAGACCTCTTCAAGGTGAAACAAAAAGACAACGAAATGCTGAAGGAATTTGTATCTCGGTTCCAGATGGAACGCATGGAACTACCACCGGTCACAGACGATTGGGCTGTGCCTTTACTCAGGGTTTGAACGAACGAAGTTCAGTGGCATCACGATAGCTAAAGTAGAATTTAATTGAATATCCAGCGGTAACCTGGGTCGATGTACATAATCGGTACCAGTCAAAGATTAGGGTCGAGGATGATCAATTGGGGACCCCTTCCGGTTCCGTTTATCCAAACAGGCCCGTCGGCAGAACTCAAAGGAATATCGATAGAGAACCCCAGTCGAATAGAGATCGATATCAACCATACAACGTAGATAGTAGGAACAGCGGCCCAGGACGCAATCCCATCCAAAATCATCTAAGGAACGATCTAGGACAGAGCTCTCGAGGGCTCATGAGCAAAAGTGGTTTCGATAAACATGCCGGTCCCACAGAAGCACCACGATTATCGAAATACAACTTCAGCATCAACGCATCAGGTATTGTGTCAGCCATTGGGAGAATCAAAGATACCAGATGACCCAGACCCCTACAAACCGATCCATCCCAAAGAAACCCCAATCAAATATGCAAATACCATG